ACTGCTGCTGCACACTCTGCTAGGGGGTTTATCCCCAAACACTAACAGAAATATTTTATGAGTTGATGCCCCTCTTGATTTACGAGGGAAATTCCAGTCCCCATTGTTGTTGTAAGTCAAGGACGACCTGGATCTAAGCTTCATTTTTTTTTTAACCTGGACTTTCTCGTTTCCGTTTTTATTTCCATAACGAGTTCTTCTTCCGAAGCATTTCGCCCAAGGCTTTAATTTCCCTCTTTTCTTTGGTTAACGTTGATAGTGTAATCTAAAAAAGTCACTTTTTAATTTGGGGAATATATATATATTTTTTCCTCCCTGCTTTGAAGAAATGGCTTGTTCTACAAAGTCTCTCATCTCTTCCTCCAGGGCTTCAGTTCTCCTGCCCAGAATTAACCAGGCACCGACTCTCTTCCTTCCCTGATCTAAATTCTGTCTGACAGGGAGATTCGTTCCAAGTCAAATCTGCCTAACGTGCCTGAAACTCTTTGATTTTTTTCAATTTTTCAGCCTCTGTACAGGTAGTCCTCGACTTATGATTGCAATGGAGCCCAGAATTTTTGTTGCTAAGTGAGACATTTGAGAAATAGATAGATGGATAGATGGATGGATGGATGGATGGATGGATAGATAGATAGATAGATAGATAGATAGATAGATAGATAGATAGATAGATAGATAATGGATGAATGGATGGATGATGGATGGATGGATAGATAGATAGATAGGCAGATAGATAGATAATGGATGAATGGATGGATGATGGATAGATGGATGGATGGATAGATAGATAGATAGATGATAGATAGATAGATAGATGATGGATGGATGATGGATGAATGCATAGATAGATAGATAGATAGATAGATAGATAGATAGATGATGGATGAATGCATAGATAGATAGATAGATAGATAGATAGATAGATAGATAGATGATGGATGGATGATGGATAGATAGATGATGGATGGATGATGGATGAATGGATAGATAGATAGATAGATAGATAGATAGATAGATAGATAGATAGATAGATAGATAGATAGATGATGGATGGATGATGGATAGATAGATAGATGATGGATGGATGGATGATGGATAGATAGATGGATAGATAGATACAGATAGATAAATAATGGATGGATGGATGATGGATAGATAGATGATGGATGGATGGATGATGGATAGATAGATAGATAGATAGATAGATAGATAGATAGATAGATAGATAGATAGATAGATAGTAGAGATAAATAGATTTTCTTAATTCTTCTTAATTCGGGAGAGTCTGGCTGAACATTCAACCAAAGGTCAATAGCTCAGCATTGTTTCTCCATGAGTTCTGGGAACATCTCTAGCATGGATCAATCCTCCCCCTGCCAGGATCTGCTGGAGTCCTCTGGATGTGGGCATTTCATTCGTGGATCACGGATCTTTTCGGTCGCTGGGTATAATAAAACAGAATGGGAAGGGAGCTTGGGGGTCTTCGAGACCAACTACCAGCTCAACCAGGATACCTTTGTTTATGTAGATAAATTAACAAGAGTTGGAAAGGGCCTTGTAGGTCATCTAGTCCAACCCTCTGCCTAAGCAGGAGACCCTGTACCATTTCTGACCGATGGCAGTCCAATCTCTTCTTGAAAGTCTCAAGCGATGGTGCTCCCACAACTTCTGAGGGCAACTTCTGTTCCATGGGTTGATTGTTCTCACTGTCAGAAAGTTTCTCCTTATTTCCAGGTTGAATCTCTCCTTGATCGGTTTCCATCCATTATTCCTTGTCTGGCCTTCAAAGGTGCTTTGGAGAATAGCTTGACCCCCTTCCTCCTCCTCCTCTCTGGGGCAGCCCCTCAAATACTGGAAGGCTGCTCTCCTGTCTCCCCTGGTCCTTCTCTTCACTAGACCAGCCATGCCCAGTTCCTACAACTGTTCTTCGTACATTTTAGCCTCCAGGTCACTAATCATCCTCATTGCTCTTCTCTGCAATCTTTCCAGAGTCTCAACCTCTTTTTTATAGTGCGGTGACCAAAACTGGATGCAGGACTCTAGCTTCTCTCCTTGATTAGTTTCCATCCATTGTTTCTTGTCCTGCCCTCTTTGGAGACTAGCTTGACTCCCTCTTCTCTGGGGCAGCCCCTCAAATATTGGAAGGCTGCTATCATGCCACCCCTGGTCCTTCTCTTCATTAAATTAGACATACCCAATTCCTGCCACCGTTCTTCATGTGTACATCTACTAAGCTTACAACATATTTTGTGGTCCTTTGTCAAGTGTAAGCAACCAGATCCACATATGAAATTAATTACTTTATTGCATTCTGACTCTAATACAGGAATTCCCAGAGTGCTTGCCTTCTCTTGGGAGGAAACAGATAAAGTTCTGTAGAATTTAGGAAGGGTCAGCCCTGGATCTCTTGGGACTGTGCAATGACTCAAAGCCTCCAGCCCCCTAATCACCTTTGTTGTGGATGGCTAACCACAAGTTGCCTTCTGTCTCCCACAGGTTCACTACAACCAGGGCCTCTCCTTATCCAAGGAAGCTGCCAAGATCCATGGGTTCAAGTTTCCTGAGATGGCCACTTTTGAGGCAGCCAAGGGAGCTTTCCAAGCTAAGCTGACCATGTTCTATATGGACATGGAGATGAAAGAGGCCGAGTTGGAGACTTTCCTGGACCTCTACAGATTCTGTGACCAGGTGAGATCAGAAAAATGCCTTCATAGAGTAGAAGAACAGTCAAGAATGGTGTCAGGGTTCTGGCCCTAAAGAAATCATGAGCCTCGAGTTCAAGCCTCACAAGAATTCAAAGGATTTATTAGGAGCGACACGTCCAGCATTAACCTAAATGAAGTCAACACTGGCCTACTTAATTTACAGTCACCTGTCACCCTGTTTCCTCTCTCCCTCCCTGCTGGGTGTGTCATAAATCAGATTCTCCAATGAAGCACATTCAGGGCTGGGTGTCATCAATCACATTCTCCAATGAAGGATTTTCTTTTCTTTTTAAAAAAAATTTATTTATTCAATGTTTCAAGAATTTCGAAAAGAGAAACAAGTTCTCACATTTTACAGCGGTATCATAGCAGTGTACATGTCCTTTAATAACAGTTGAGTGCATTTACCGTAGGTATACCTGTTGCTAATTTATTAGTTCCTTACTTATTATATTATTAAAGTACATTATTTATTTATCTACACTACTTTACATATATGGTATTCAGCTTTGTTCGAGTATTTTCCCACATCATTATTTATTTTTTTATACATTATTATACTTTACATGTATACATACATACACATAAGTCATATATCGTGTTCTTCTTTGCAGTTTCTTTAGTCATTTTCACAAAATATCTTTACTCCTTTTTTTTTAATCATTTATACCATATATTCCATGTCGTAAAATATTCTTCTTCTTCCCTGTTTTTTAATAACACGCTTCATCTAATCATTTCTTCCAATGAAGGATTTTCATGGGCAGAAGATCCGGTAGCCTAGCTACAACCTTTGTAAGATAAGCGTGGAATGTAATTCTGGTTTTAAACTGTCATAACTGCTCCTTCAGAACCCCCTCATATGATTTATGGCAACTCCAAAACTGGCCTAAGAATGTTTTACGAATTGACAAACGATTGTGTACAGCTAAAGGAACTAGATACGTCTAGCCTAACAACGAGAAGGCTCGGGGGAGCCATGATAGCTTCTTCTAGGGCTGCCACAGAGAAGAGAGGGGTCAATCTATTTTCCAAATCACCTGAAGGCAGGAAAGAAACAATGGATGGGAACTGATCCAAGAGAAAAGCAACCTGAAATTAAAAAGGAATTTCATGATGGTGAGAACAACTAATCCGTGGAATGGCTTATCTTCAGGAGTTGTTCTGACCCAGCCCTGTTACCAGCAAGAAAATCTCAAACAAACGCAGAGACTCAAACCTTCACAGCTTTAATCTGCAAATAAACTTCCTTGCAGATAAAAGATGGCTTGCAGCCAATTAGTCCAACCAGAAAAGCCTTGACAGAATTCTTCAGATAATCCGGAGTCTCTACACACAATGCCGAGTCCTTAGAGCGTTTTTGCTTTCTGCAAAGGCAAAAACCTTTTGAAACCAGGCTTATATTCCCTGGAGGGAGGGGCCATTACGTTGCATCCTTACTCCCGAGTCGCCTGTGCTGCTCCAGCTGTTCTCTTCTACGAATCATCCTGTGCTCCTGCACACTTGGCACAGGCTCCTCGGGAACCTCCTCATTGCTGCTGCCAGCCCCACACCATCCCTGAAGGCAGCGATCCACTCCCGGATGGTGCCGGCCCCTCATCCGAGTCCTCGCTTTCCTCAGCCGTCTGCACCAGCTGCCGGCTAACCTCAACAGAAGTTGGTGGGGTGGGGAGGGGTCCCAAAGGTACATTTTTTAAAAAGGCAACTGGACTTTTTGGATTTTCTTTGAAGACATTTTGCTTCTCATCCAAGAAGTTTCTTCAGCTGCCTCTTTAAAAAGTCCAGCTGCCTCTTGAAAAAAAAAAAAAAACTTTTGGGACAAGCATGACCTGTATGACTAAAATATCTACGTCGACATCCAACGCGGGAGACTTTTAAGAAGAGATTGGGCAACCGTTTGCGTGAAACAGCATGGGGTCTCCTACTTGAGCAGGGGGTTGGACTAGAAGACCTCTGAGGTTCTTTCCAACCCTTTCCTCTCCTCCCCTCCCCTCCCCTCCCCTATTCATGGCAGGTTGGGTAATTCTGGGAGTTCCAGTCCCCCCCCAAAATCCTCAAAATTGGACACCCCTACCCAACAAATGGCTTCCCAATCTGTCCTTGAAAACCCTCCCCCACAAATTCTGAAGGCAACCCATTCCACGGATTAATTTTAACTGTCAATAAAAATACTCTTATTGTTGACGTAGTCCGGAGACCCAAAGGGAAGCCTTTGATGGAGTAAGTAACAGATGTTGACCTCTTGTCTTTTCAAGGTCACGGCGTTTCACCGGGACTGCAAGCAACATCTGGCCCGGTGGCAGGCCAGGGAGAAGGACCTCAACGTCGTGGAGGTCCAAAAGGACACCGAAGATGCTCTCCGGCGAATGTCCGAGGACTTTTCAGAGGAGAAGTTCCAGCAGGTGAAACTCCAAGCCTCCAGCATGCACAGCGAAAAAGGTCGCTTGATCTGGAGCGATGCCTTGGAACGAAGCCAAGAAGCCAAGCGGATCCTGGAGGACCTTCTGGTCAGCCTCGAGGAGGCCAAGGGAATCACGGCAGGAGACTACGGGGAGAAGAGAAGCCCTTCCGCCCCTAACTCATCTTCGTCAATCCCAGTTGATGTCCTCACCGTTGATGAGACGTTGGAGGCCACCAACAACCTGGAGCCCTTCTCCAAAGAAGCCACGGACAGAATTGATTCCTCTCCAAAGAAGCCCTCAGATATGGATGTGAGAGGCCACAAGGAAGCTCCTCCAGGTACCATCTTGGAATTGGGTGGGCTTGACCACCGGGATTTGGCCGAGGAGCCCTCCGGAAGACCTCAGAGGGCCTCCTGGGATTCTTCTCTCTTGTGTCGTTCTTCTGCCTCTTCTCCCAAAGCCGAGCCAATGCCAGGAACCAGGGACACTCTACCACCCCTAGGCCACTCCTGTGCCCCTCTACTGGTGAGAGGCCCACCACGGCCTCAGAAGCGAGAGAGAGCCCAGTACTTCCAACTCTCCAGACACGGGAGTTTTTCGTCAGAAGACGCCGATTCTCAGAACTCCTCCGAAGACGCCGTGGACTCCAGTAGCACGTGGTCCATGGAACTGCAGGGTCTCCGAGGCGGCGGGGCTCAGGAAAAAGGACTGGGGATCCTCTACTTGGAGAACCACAGTCCAAGCAGCGGTTCAGGTCCGGTGAAACCAGAGACTTGAGGTGCTGGAGTTCTGGAGTTTCTTCTAGGTCTTCTTCTAGCTGACCGATCTGGTGCTGAAAACATTCCTTGGTAGTTCGGGAGCTCCAATATCCCAGCTGGATTTTCGCCCCAAGCCCAATTCTGCTCCTTCGCTCTTGACAGGGCAAGCCCCTGGTGTATATAAAGAGAGCAAACCCCACTCCCATCTAGCACTGATGGTGTTACCTTGGCAGGTAATGAAACGTCTGCAAGAAAACAACCAACCTTGGAGAGCACCGAGGACCACACAGTCCCTCCTCCCTTTCCTTCCTTCCTTCCTTCCTTCCTTCCTTCCTTCCTTCCTTCCTTCCCCTCTGTAAACCTAACTCCCTTCTAGCACTGATGATGTTCCCTAGTTGAGTCATGAAACATCCGCAAAGAAACAACCCAGCTCAGAGAGCACCAAGGAGTCCACAGTCGTCCTCTTTCTTCTCCTTCCATTTTTCCCTTCCTGGTCCATAGACATGATTGAATGGATGACCTCCTTCTTCTTCTCCCCCTTCTCCTCCTCCTCTTCTTCACCCTCCTCCTCTTTTTTTCCTCCTTCTCCTCTTCCTCCTCCTCCTCCTTCTTCATCACCTCCTTCTCCTTCTCTTCTTCTTCTTCACCACCACCTCCTCCTCCCCTCCTTTTCCTCCTTCTCCCTCACCACCTCCTCCTCCTCTTCTTCTCCTTCTCTCCTTCTCCTGCTCTCTTTCTTCTCCCTCACTACCTCCTCCTCCTCTCCTTCTCCTTCTCTCCTTCTTCTCCTCCTCCTCTTCTTCTCTCCTTCACCACCACCTCCTCCTCCCCTCCTTTTCCTCCTTCTCCCTCACCACCACCCCCTCCTCTTCTTCTCCGTCTCTCCTTCTTCTCCTTCACCACCACCTCCTCCTCTCCTTCTCCTCTCCTTCTCCTTCTCCTTTTCTTCTCCTTCACCACCTCCTCCTCCTCCTCCTCTTCTTCTCTCCTTCTCCCTCACCACCTCCTCCTCTTCTTCTCCTTCTCTCCTTCTTCTCCTTCACCAGCTCCTCCTCTCCTTCTCCTTCTTCTTCACCACCTCCTCCTCCTCTTCTCCTTCTCTCCTCTCCTCTTCTTCTCTCCTTCTCCCTCACCACCTCCTCCTCCTCTTCTTCTCCTCTCCTTCTTCTCCTTCACCACCTCCTCCTCCTCCTCTTCTCCTTCTCTCCTTCTTCTCCTTCACCAGCTCCTCCTCTCCTTCTTCTTCACCACCACCTTCTTCTCCTCTCCTTTTCCTCCTTCTTCACCACCACCCCCTCCTCCTCTTCTCCTTCTCTCCTCCTCCTCTTCTTCTCTCCTTCTTCTTCTTCACCACCTCCTCCTTCTCTTCTTCTCCTCCTCTCCTTCTTCTCCTTCACCACCTCCTCCTCCTCCTCCTGAGGCTGGATTACCGTTTATTCGTGCAGACTTGGATCCAAAGTTCCTTAACATTTTTATTAAAAAAAAACCCCAGCTTTATTGGTTTTGCTTCTCATCCAAGGAGCTCCTTCGGTTCTTGAGAAGCGAATCATCTTCCAGGGAAAACGAAGGAAGTCCAGTTGTCTTTTGAAAAAGCACCCCTGGGACAAGCGTGACCCGGATGACGGAGAATCTCCATCGACAATTTTCCAGGGGGGGTTTAAAATAAAAGTAAATAAAAGTCCTGAGCGGCCCCTACAGAAATACGCACAACTCTGAAAGGTCACGTTCAGACTGGCCTACCTCGCAGGGGCGAAGCATAGAAACAAGTGGGAGGGTCTTACCCCTTCGGTAACCTTTGCACTCCTTGGAGAAACGCAGAATTAAATGCAAAGGGGAGGTTTTTTTGGGGGGTGGGGAGATGTGGAAATTGCTATGAAAAAAGAACGTGCGTTTTTAATCTCATCCATTTTACGTTGTGGTTTTTGTTTTTTTTTAACCCAAAAAGAAGCAAAAAGTACTTCTTGGCTCACACAGATGTGTTTGCACTTATTCTTGTTGCGTTTGGCAGAGTCTCTTGTGTCTGCGCTGTGTGTTGTTAAGCCTTGTGGCTGTGCTTCTGTCTCGCAGCGCTCGGTTCTCAGGTCAGGAACGGGGAATCGACCTCTTAAGACTGAAGGTAGAATAACAGGGTTGGAAGGGAACGCAGAGGTCTTCTAGCCCACCCCCTGCTCAGGCAGGAAACTGTACATCAGGGGTCCTCGACATGGAACCATAACCTCTCCCTCCACCCTACCGCTGGGCCACAAAGCCAGAAAGGTTGGGGAACTTTGCTGTATACAATTCCAGACAAACGGCTGTCCAGTCACTTCCCAGAAAACCTCCAGTGATGAAGCCCCGAACAAGTGGAGAAACGCGGCTTGGAACGTAGAATGGACTTTCTTCCCTCCCTCCCTCCCTCCCTCCTTCCTTCCTTTCTTCCTACCCTCTCCCTCCCTTCCTTCTTCCTTCCCTCCTCATTCCCTCTGTCCTTCCTCCCTTCCTTCCCCCCTCCCTCCTTCCTTCCCCCGTCCTTCCTTCCTCCCTCCCCTTCCCTCCTTCCCCTTCCTTTCCTCCTTCCTTCCTCCCTCCTTCCTTCCCTCTCCCTCGCTCCCTTCTTCCTTCCTTCCCTCTCCCTCCCTCCTTCCTTCCCTCCTCCCTTCCTTCCCTCCCTCCTTCCTTCCTCCTCCCTCACCCTCCCTCCTTCCTTTCTCCCTCCTTCCTTCCTACCCTCTCCCTCCCTTCTTCCTTCCCTCCTCCCTCCCTCTCCCTTCCTCCTTCTTTCCTTCCTTTCCTTCTTCCCTCCCTCCTCCCTCCATCCCCTTCCTTCCTCACCCCCTCCACTCTGCCTCCCTCCTTCCTTCCTCCATCCCTTCTTCCTTCCCTCCTCACTCCCTCCCTCCTTCCTCCCTTCCTTCCACCCTCCCCCTCACTCCCTCCTTCCCTCCCTTCTTCCATCCATCCAAGAGCCGTGGTGGCACAGCAGTGGTTAGAGTGCAGGACTGCAGGCTCCTTCTGCGGCCTGCCAGCTCCCTGCACTTTGGCGGTTCGTATCTCACCGGGCTTCATTCAGCGGACTCAGCCTTCTGTCTTTTCCAGGTCAGCAAAATGAGGACCCAGATTGTTGGGGGCAAGAGAGGGTGGAGACGCCCCGTGAAGCGGCCTGTAAGTCCAAGTGCTCTTCTTTTCTTCCCAACTCCCTCTCTCCTCATGTCTGTCTCCTCTATACCTCTTCTTTCCTTCTCCTTAGAGCGTAGAAGGATCGAGTGAGAAGGGACCTTGGAGGTCTTCTAGTCCAACCCCCTGCTCCAGCAGGAGACCCTACCTAGACCATTTCAGACAGATGGCTCTCCAGTCTCTTCTTTTAAAGGCAAGCTGTTCCATCCAACCCCTGGAACAGAAGTTGCCTTCAGAATGTGAGGGAGCTTCATCCCTGGAGGTTTTTAAAGAAGAGACTGGACTGCCCTCTCTCAGAAATGGGGTAGGGTCTCCTGCTTGGGTGGGAGGGGTTGGACTAGAAGACCTCCAAGGTGCCTTTTAACTCTTACCCATGTAGATGGCCTACATGGTTCCTTCCTATTCTATTCTATTCTACTCTACTCTACTCTACTCTACTCTATTCTATCCTATTCTCTTCTATATTATATTCTATGCTCTATTCTACTCTATTCTATCTATTCTACTTATTCCATTCC